TTATTTCTGCTCATTTTGCATCAGTTCATATAAGTCTCCCCAGATTTTTCTGAAACCATCACCTTCATAATTTCATACATCACAATAGTATTCCATCACAATCACATTCCACAACTTGATCAGTCATTTTCCAATTGATGGGCATTTCCTCAGTTTTCAATTCTTTGTCACCGCAAAAAGAGCAGCTATGAATATTTTCATGCATATGGGTCATTTTCTTTTTTCTTTGATCCATTTGTGATACAGAACTAGTAGTGGTTGTTGTTGCTACTGTCATTGTCCTTTGTTTTTGAAGAGGACCACTGTCATCATGGAGCGATGTCTTGACTTTCATGTGAATTGGATTTAAGTGAGGCAGAATTGCATAAAGTTGTCAACCTCACTCTCTCTTCTAGAGTTATCAAAGTCCAGTGGCAAGACAATATTGTAGTGATATTGCTGGGTCAAAGTGTATTCACAGTTTTATAGCCCTTTGTATGTAATTCCAAATTGTTCTCTAGAATGTTTGGACTTGTTCCTAGCTCCACCAAGAGTGGATTAGTGTCTCAATTTTTCCACAAACTCTCCGGGATTTATCTCTTTTCTTTTCTGTCATGTTAGTCAATCTGATAGGTGTGAGGTGGAACCTCAGAGTTGTTTAATTTGCGTTCTTCCAATCAGTATTCAGAACATTTTTTCATGTGATTATTGATAGCTTTGATTTCTTCTTCTAAAAACTGCCCGTTCATATCTTTTGACAATTTATCAATTGAGGAATGGCTCTTATTTGTATAAATTTGGCTCAATCCCTTATATATTTGATAAATGAGGTCTTTACAGAAAAACTTGCCACATTTTTCCTCAGTTTTCTGTTTTCCTTCTAATTTTTACTTCACTGTTTGTTTGTATAAAAGCTTTTTAATTTCATGTATCAAAATTATCCATCTTATATCTCGTGATCCTCTCTATCTCTTGTTTGATCATAAACTCTTCTTTTATCCATAGATCTTACAGGTACATTTTTCCATGCTCCCCTAATTTACTTATGATATCACACATTATTTTTAATTCTTTTATCCATTTTGACCTTATCTTGGCATATTTAGTGTGATATGTTGTTCTGTATCTAGTTTCTGACAAACTACTTTCCAGTTTTCCAAGCAATTTTTGTCAAATGGTGAGTTCTTACACCAAGAGCTTGGACTTTACCATGGCCATTTACTACTGTGTATTGTCTACATCCGACCATTCTATTTCATAGTCAGTACCAGATTATTTTGATGATTACTGCTTTGTAATATAATTTGAAATCTGGTACTGCTAGGTCACCTTCCTTCACATTAAAAATAATTCCCTTGATATTCTTGACCATTTATTTTTCCTGATGAATTTTACTATTTTTTCTAGCCCTAGAAAATAATTATTTGGTAATTTGATTGGTATAGTACTGAATGAATTAACTTGGGTAGAATTGTCTTTTTTATTGTATTGACTTGGCCTATGCATGAACAAATAATATTTCTCTAATTGTTTATATGTCTGTATTTGTGTGTTGCTTATTCATCTTTCTAGCTTATTTCTTGACTTTGAACTTTATTTGAAAGTTGGGATCTGCTCACCTATGGTTGGGGGGGCACTGCTCCAAGCTTTAGGCTTTTTTATGTGCTGCTGTTTTCAGAGCTAGTCCTTGAGGGTCTCCAAGTTTTTGGTACTTTGAAGGTGATGTGATCTGTGGAGAAGTGTGATTACTACTTTCTTGGTCTGCACTCTGTTCTTTACCCAGGTAGGTCCCTTGTTTCCCTCAAGCCACAAGTGCTGATGTTCCTCTTTGCCTTGGAACTGAGACCAGTGCCCCTGATCCCTTGTGACTGAGCACAAGTCTTCCATTCCACCCTGAAACTGTGACCCAGGAATGTGTATGGGCAAAAGAGTTGCCTAACAGGGTCAGACCTTACACTCAGTGCCAGCAAAGGGTACTCTGTGATCTCTTTCTAACCAGTTGTCCAACCCTCTTACTATCCCTCAGCTCAGAGCTCTAGATACCATTGTTTCTGCTGTTGTAGCTGCCTCCAAGACCCCCTTCTGGTGCTGACACATCTATGCTCAGGGCTGACCATAACCCCAGTGTCACAGACCTTTCTTGCCACCTGGAAAAAAAATCTCTATCTTGCTTTCATTTTTTGTTGGTTCTGTGGGTCCAGAATTCAATTTGAGGTGTTATTTTAAAGTTGTTTGTAAGGAAATCAGGAGCTTCCATTCTAATGGAGGAGGAAACATAGACATACAGGTAAAAATAATGAGAAATGCAAAGTAGATAAGGGCAACCTTCAAAGGGAAGACACCAGTAATTGGATAGACCAAGAAAGGCCTCCGGCAGGTGGCACATGAACTAAATCTTGAAGAAACTAGAAATTCCAAGAGGTGGAATTGAGCAGGAAGAGCATTATAGGCATGGCAGTGCAGAGGCCCAGAGCTAGAAGGTTAGAGCATACTATAAATAGAACAGCAGGTAGCATGGCTGGACTGTACAGTATATGGGACAATATGGCAGAAGATTAGAAGGGTTGGAAGCAACCAGCTTGTGGAGAGCTTTGAATGTAAAATGGAGAAGTTTAGAGTTGGTCCTAGAACCAATATGGAACCACTGAGCTTTACTGAATATACTGTCACTTCCACTTTAGGAAAATATATTTAGCAATTGTGAGTAGGATGAATTGGAGTAAGGAGAGACTAAGCAATAAGGGTTTAGCGACACTCTAACAGGGCAATAAAATTACATTACAAAATTATTCTGTTACAGGAGAAGGAATTAAAACCAGTCTTTGAACCCCAAAATCACATACAGATAAATATGCTATCCTTTCTGTCTACAAATACGATGCTACTGATCCACCATTGGTCAAGTGTACTTTAAGTTTAGGAATAGATTTATGCTGAGCATTCTATACTCTCAATGGAAAGAACACAGGATTTTTGACTTAGGAGACCCGGATTCTAGTTCCATCTCCTCTGCACAATATTCTTGAAATTTGACCAAGTCATAATCTCTTTGTAACTCAGATTCCTCATCTATAAAATGAATAGACTAAACTATATGATCTTTGCAGTCATAGGTGGCTCAGTGGATAGAATGCAGGGCCTGAAATAAGGAAGACTCATCTTCTTGAGTTCACATCAGACCTCAGACACTTACTAGCTGTGTGACCCTGGGCAAGTCACTTCACCCTGTTTGTCTCAGTTTCCTCATCTGTCAAACGAACTGGAGAAGGAAGTGGCAAACTACTCCAGTATCTTCGCCAAGAAAACCCCAAATGGAGTCACGAAGAATAGGACATGACCAAATTTAACTGAACCACAACAGAAAAGAAAATGATGTTTTCTTTAAGTTCCCTTCAAACTATAAATTAAGGGTTAAGGGTATGAATTTCTAGAGTTACTGAATCTTCTCACAGCATTAGAGATGCCACTAATGATGATCAAACATTGCAAAGTTAGTCAGCGTATACAGAAATCAAACCCTTATCCTTGGCTTTATTGGTATTGTGCTCTGAATTAATTAGCTATGAATATAAACTAGAGAGAAATGATCCATTTCATCATCATTTAAAAATATTCCCATATAACTTAAATAATAATGTTTAAGAACATGTGATTCAACATTTAATTCATCAAATATTTAAGTTGCAGCTTTATGCAAGGAACTATTTTGAGCCCTAGAGACAAAAAGCCAAAGGCAAATCTAGTTCTTGATATTAAAGAGAAAATATTCTATTAGTAAATGCATATATGCAGACAAGTTAACATAAGTTAACCAAATTATTTTAGGAGCACCGACAACATTGAGAATCAGGCAGAGCCTAGTCTAGGATGTAACAGAGTAGCTAATATTTTGATGAGAAGAGAGTGAGGCAGACATGCAGTTGAGATATAGGGTACTAACTGTGCAAAGGCACGGAGAAAGGAGATTGAACATCATGTATGGGGAATAACGAGAGGGCCAGTTTGTCTAGAATAGAGTAGATGAAAGACAATAATATGAAATGAGATTGGAAAGGTCAGTGGGAATCATATTATGGAGTTATTGAATTTTATGGTGGGCATTTTGTATTTTATCTAAGAGGCAGTAGGGAACCATTGAATATTTTTAAGTAGGATGGTGATGTGGTCATATTTGTGTTTCAGACATATCAATTTGGCAATTCTATAGAAACATATTTAGTAACACCTTAAAATGTTTAATAATATTGATTGTAGCTCTTATCAGTAATACTGATATTAAATGTTTTTGTTGAAGAAGCTGAGTAGTAATGTAAACTGTAAAAACTTCAAAAATCTGAGGAAGATATATGCAATATATAGTATATGTAATGTAGAATACACATAAATATATAAACATATTATTATTCAGTCACTTCAGTTGTGTCCAACTCTTCATGACCCCATTTGGGGTTTTCTTGGCAAAGGTATTTGAGTGGTTTGCCATTTTCTTCTCCAACTCATTTCACAGATGAGGTTAACATGGATATTACATGTATAAAGTATATATATATATATATATATATATATATATATATCATACCCTATATCTTAATTGCATGTCTGCCTCACTCTCTTCTCATCAAAATATTAGCTACTCTGTTACATCCTAGACTAGGCTCTGCCTGATTCTCAATGTTGTTGGTGCTCCTAAAATAATTTGGTTAACTTATCTTAACTTGTCTGCATATATGCTTTTACTAATAGACTATTTTCTCTTTAACATCAAGAACTAGATTTCCCTTTGACTTTTTGTCTCTGGAGCTATCAGTCTGTCTGTCTCTCATAATATGGTTTCAAGGTAGAAGTGAAATATCAGTTTAGCACGCATGTTTCATATTGTAATTATCAACTTCCTGGAGTATATGAGGTGTTCAGGAGGATTAGATCTTCTGGTGTGAGGGCTTGCCAAATCCTTTTCAAGGGTGCTTATCTACCTTTGGTTTCCATTTGATTCACCCAACTCTTACCTGTGGCTCCAAGAAGCTGAAGCAAGTGCGGCAGCCATATCCTGGTAAAGCTGTCTTGGCAGAAGGGCCTCGAACCTATTGGTGAGGTAGGGAATTTTTACTCCAAGCACATGAAAACTTCTCCTGGTAGAACAAGCAGATGAGAACAATTCATTTCAATGGCCATGAAGACGGCTATAACAGCAAATGTGGAGTGCTTAGAGTTTGGTCATATATCAAAGACACCAGGTAGTTCAGTGCATACCAGGACATCACCAGTCATCTTTTACCCTGCTACTGGACTTTTTTGAATCAGGAAGAGAGACTGAGGCTTATGACTTTGTGCAACTCTGTCTCTCTCTTAAATCCAATTCACGCATAAGTCAGGATATTACATGTGATGGTTGATCCTTTTCCAAAACAAAGGATAACAGCAATTAACCCCCTGGGGGAGTAGAACAGGAGCTTACATGTTACTGTTCAACGTTTTAAATACCTATCAATGAATCTTGAAGTTTGTGAGTGTTGTGGCCCATATGACTAAACACAGTACTAGATACCAAAGGTTTTAAGGCTGCCCACACCTCTGTTACGCCACTGTTGCCAACAATGGAGAAGTGTTCTGATCGATTGATATTAATTCTTATGTAGCTGTCTTACCACTGCTTTTGTTGAATGTGGATATTTAGTTTGAAGAGGATAAGTCTACAATCTGTCCAGCAATCTGCACCACATATCTCCTTTGGTACTCTTACATCCTGTCTGTCTCTTCTCCTCACAATTATATAGTCTATTAAATGCTGATGTTTGCTGTGAGGGTATAAACACGAAATTTTATTGTGTTTAGGTAAGTAGAAGACAGTGTTGACGATGAGGAGGTCATGAGGCAGTCTTTAGTAGTAAGTGACTGTTCCTTTTGATTTTCCAACTCCATTCCTCCCAATCTGATATGACTCCATTCCTCCCTATATCTGATAATCTGTGCCTACTCTGGCATTAAAGTTATCCAGAATTACAAACTTGTCCTTCAGCACATTGAAGATGAGGGTCTCCAAGTAGTCATAAAATTTTTCGTTGACCTTATCAGGGTTCATCATGGTAGAACCTATGCACTGATGATGGTGGCATGGCACTTTCCTGGAAATGGCAATTACATTGTCATGACCCTGCTGCTCATTCTTTTTGGGAGGCATACAAGCTTGTTGACTGGATTAGATATGATTAAGAAACCTACACTAGGTTCACAGAGCTTCTCATCATGCCCATATCAAAGAAGGTGCCATGCTCTATGAGCAAAGAAGAATTGCAGTAGCTCGAAAGAAATGTGAGATGCACAAATTTAGAGAAGTCTCTATTTCAAATGTTCATACAGACTATTTATGCCTGACCTGTGATGGAACCTTTCGAGCTCATATTGGTCTGACCAGCCACAGTTGGACACACAACACACTGACCTCAACATAGCATTATCATTTTGATCCTCTTTAAGCATGAAGGACAACAACCAATGCATACTTACAAATCTTTTTAATGTTTTAAGCATTTCATTGTGGTGTAGAAAATAACAGCTGTCTCACACTTGAAATCTATTATTTTATACATTAAAACAATTTTCTTAGAAGGGACTCTCATAATCCATTTTGGGAAAATCTTAGAACTGAGCTTGATTTGATTAAGAAAAATTTCCCAGAGTTCTACTTTAGGGTTAGGGTGTAATGAGTCAATGGGTGAAAGAGTATAATATCCTTTATTTGGGATAACCCCTTCCCCCAAGATTGAACCTGGTTCTTATGAGTACAAACCTGGGACCCCTACATGTAAAGAGAGTGTCACTCTCCCTTGGGCCTTCAGGCCACAAATAAAGAAGCTTTCATCCTTCAAGAAGTCTTTTTTATACTTCCTCTCCACTATTCTCTGGGTAAATGTTATCTCTACCACCTTACCACTTAGTTCTCATACCTTACTGATTGGACCTCTCCTATGCCTACCTTGGGATAGAAGGATCATACATTTAGAGATGCAATAGATCTTAGAAGTAACTGAGAGCAATCCCTTCTTTTTACAGACAAGGACTTAGATTAGGACTTTGGCTTAGAGAGTTAAGAGGTTTGACCCAGATCACAAAGATCATTAGTGACTGAGTCATGGTTTGAATTCAAGTCTTTTAACCCCCAAATTCATCATACTTTCACTGTGCCTCTCACTTGTATCAGAATTACTTGTGTGTTTGTATTTTTGGTATTTTCCATCAGTTAGATTAAAAAATTGCATATAGAGTTAGTAGTTAATTCAGTTTTATATCCTCAGCACCTAACCCCATAGCCTTAGAAGGCATTTAAATAAATTTTAAATTGAATGACTAAATTTATATAGCATCATCAACAAAAAGCAAAACTCATTTGGTTGTAACTAATGAGCTGATTATGAACAAACATGTAAGTGTTCCTTTTGTACACAAAGAGGTCAAAGAATAATTCAGTTTCTATGTGAAGATCAGGACTGATAGAACCTAATGAAAAACAGTGCCAATAAAAAACAAAGAAACGAAACAAACTGCACCATAATTGTTTAACAGAGGGGAAAAAAAGCCTCAAACTGAGAATTCAGACATGAGCATCAAAAGTCTGAGTGCTAAAGATGTTTTATAATTCCATCATTGTTTTATTTTTTCCAAGTAAAATGTTTGTCATTTCCTATCAAATGAAAACCAGATGAATATAATATGATGCTCTGAGCCATGCACATCATTGGTTGGACAAATTCAGCACTTTATATACTATGGCTCAGATTGGTTCACTCATAGCACTACATAGTCTGTCACCCACTGACTCATTATACTCTCACTTTGAAGTAGAATTCTAGGGAAAAATTATAATTCAAAGGTTTAGCTCATTTCTAAGTCCCCCCCCCCCACAAATAGATTAAGAGGGTACCTTCTAGAAAATTTTTAATGTAAAAGATAAATATTGGATTTAAGGTTGATTTGCAAAGTTGGGGAAAACATATTGGTCTTTTACTAATGCTCATTTAGTGGTATCTTTGAAGAAAAACTTGAACCTCTATTTTTGGAACATTCATGTTTCAAATATCTTCTGAATCATATCATCTCTCCCCTAATTTTGTGAGCTCTTTTAAAGTATTTTGGACATCATATTATGAGTTCTAGTGAGACATTATTTTCATTGTAAAGAACACTGAAATTCAAACATAATACCTGGGTTTGAATTGTGGCCTCAGTTTCTTCATCTGGAAAATTAAAAAAAAATACTCTACCTTCCACATAGGGTTTTTGGAGGAAAAGGACTTTATAAATCATAAGGTCCAAAAGATGTTCTATCCATGTAGTCTATTATTTACTCATAATCTGGATAAATATTTTGGTGATTTTTTTCAGTTTTCCAAGATAATATTAACACCTAGCAGGCAATAACAGCTAGCATAAATAGCAGTCTTCTTTAGTAGTTCAGTTTCACTTGGGGGGATGGAGTGGCTTATCTGAATTATGGGATATTTTTTTTAAAATGTAGCTTTATTACTTTCTTGAATATATGCAGTAATATGAGCTAGCCAGAATGTTTTGCCAACTAGAGGTCAAGCTGACCTGTTTTAGTTAATAGTTAAGAAATTCTGTAAACAGAATTAAAAAAAATGTTGATGGTTGTTTCAAGGAGCACATCCTTAGTATGTAGCATCATACATGACTTTCTCAGAAATTTTGGAGGCCGTTCTCACTCTTTGGAGTTGAGAGATTTTCTCAGATATTCAAACACATATTAATATAAGACCTTCTTGATCACTTGCTGTACTAGTGAGCCTGACTAATCAAACAATCAAGTTATTACGCATCTCATTATGGAATACAGCCACACCAGTCCTGTCATATTAGGAGGGATCATAGGACCATAGATTTAGAGCTAGAAGGGACCTTAGATGTCAGTGAGTCTAACTCCTTCATTTTACAGATAAAGAAACTAAGGCCCAGAGAGGTTAATTGATAATTAATTGTTGGCTAATTAAAAAATAAATCAATTTTAAATGGGTCAGATAAGGTCAGTATCATATGTTTAAAACTGGAAGAGATCATTTAAAAGAACTCCCTCATTTGCAAAATGAGGAAATAGACCTGGAAAGAGAAAAAAAAACACTTTCCTCAAATTACATTGTCCTCTGAAATGTCTTCATAACTCTAGGGAATCATTTTGTTTCAACAAAGCTAAGCATTTGAGAGACTTCTTTAGGAGTTACCAGTTTTTCTTTCAAATGTTGAGGCATTACTTTAGAATTTTCTGAATGCCTCCTCTTCTCTGCCTGTCCAAATCCTATCCATTTCCAGTACCCAGCTCAACTCCTATATCTTATATAAAGCTGTCTGTGATACCAGGTACCTACCTATTGTTTACCCCAATCTTTTCTCCTCTCTTTGTTTCCATCAGGAAGGTCTCAGTTTTGACTTATTTTCTGTTCCATTTTTTTCACTACTTTCATTTCCTTTTCCAGCACTATCTCACTCACTGTCCAGCTTTAGTGGATATAAAGTTGGGGTCTCATTTTTCTTTCCCTAAAATTGACACATGAGCCATCTTAGGTTTATTGCAATCCTGAGAATAGAGACATAGTTCACCCTTCTTTGTAGGTACTGAGTTACCTTTGTGGCTAACATTGTCTCTTTTCTGTAGGAAACAGAATGTATTTTTGGTGAATTTATTGAAGAAAATATTTTGTGAATACATCTAATCAATATGTACTCTATCACCCTGATGACTAAAGAAGTATTTCATGAGATCCTGAAATGATGCTGCCCTTGGTGGTTCTTATAACAGTACAATAGATGCAAACTTTCAAACCAAGGCTGTATTTTCACATCTTCAGGTAGAGATTGATGCATATGGCCTTCAAGGCACACGTCCTACTTGATATAATACTGGGACAAAATTTAGATTTCAAAGATACCATACAAATACAATAGCAATCTCTATTTTACACTCCAGCTTTCCATTTTCTTTTTGCTAGGCAATGGGGTTAAGTGACTTGCTCAGGATCACACAGGGAGTAAGTGTCAAGTGTATGAGGCTGGATTTGAACTCAGGTCTTCCAGACTCCAGGGCTGGTGCTTTACCCACCAAGCAACCTAGCTGCCCCTAATC